AGATCAAAATTGATTTATATGTCATCAGATATTGTGGTCAAGCATTTTATGGCAGTTTTGGTGTTAGTGCTACTTGCTGAAGGAGAAACATTCATGACTTGGTGGGCATTTCTAATTCATTGAGCAATAAGCCCATATTTTGGGATTTATGCTCATTTAGGAGCAATTTTATTTTCCTGTATTTGTGAAGGCAATGATTGCAGGCAAATAAATAAAAGGTATTTTTGACTAGCATAAGGGAAAAAATATTTGACAAAATTAAATTACTCTAGGAATATTCATTAGCAAATAAAAATAAAGGGGCATTCATATGTAAGTTTTATGGAGAGGTTATTTTAAAATGGTTCTTATTTGTCTATTGTAGTGCATCCAGAAAGCCATATACTTGATAATACTTTATTAGTAATTGATAAATTTGTGCTATTGTATCATCCCCATCAACTTTATTCCACCACCACCACCACTGGGCTGCACAAACCAGAAATGCAAGACCCATCCTTGAATTCTTCCCTCTCAGCCCCTGATCCCATCTGTCACAAAGGTTAGCCAGTTATCCCACATAACTCCAGCCCATTCTCTCCATCTTCAGTCACTATCCTAATTCAGATCAAAATCACCTCTCACCTGGACTCCTGCAGTGACAGATTCCCTACAGCCATTCCTGTCTTCCTCCAAGGTGATCCACACTCATCTCACCACTCCTCTACAATAGGTCAATAGTCCCAAATTACTTCTGCTCAGCTTTCCAGCCACATCACTCTTAGAGCTCACTGACCCTTGTCCTCTAGTCTGACTGCTCTCCCTTCATTCTTCATCATGCTCTCCTATCTTGGCCCAGGATATTTGCACATCTTTATTTCTTCTTCCTGGACTATTCTTCCCTCAACTCTTCATCTGGCTTACCCATCTTTCAAATCTGAATTGAAGAATCACTTCATAAGGCACACTTCATCCAAATCCTCAAACGGAGTTATTGGTACCAATTATGGATTCCTACTATCCTATTTTTCCCACTTCACAATACATGCTCCATTTTTATTGGGTCTACAATGGTTCCTTCCCACTCTGGAGTGTAACTTCAAATAGATAAGGACATCTGTCTTTTCAACACAACACCCGTATGCTTATAGAAAATGTTTGACATGGAGTGGGTGCCCACCATATACCGTATTTTTCGGACCATAAGACGCTCCGGACCATAAGACGCACCAGTTTTTAGAGAAGGGAAATGAAGAAAAAAAGATTCTGAAACAAATAGTGTCCTAAAATATTTTATGTGCATTAAAACCCAACATCACAGTCATAAACACATGTAATCAACCCTGTAAAGTAAACAGCAGCATTTAGAACCATTTTAGAGCCGGGCAAGCACACAGAGACCACACAGAGCCGGGCAAGTAAAAAAACTTTTTTTTTAAAGTATATGTGTAGGCTATATTTGGACCATAAGACACAGGGACTTTTTCCCCCCACTTCTGGGGGGAAAAAAGTGCGTCTTATGGTCCGAAAAATACGGTACTTACTAAATAAATGAATGACTACTACAGTGAAGGTTAATAGCACATGGCTAGTAAAGGCTTTTACTAGGCACTTATATACTTCATATTCAGAGGTAACTTTGAATGACGATCTCTTAAGGGTGCTTACATTTTGCCTTCTCATTGTATTTCTGGGATCATGGAGGATGCTCTCTAAAAATGGACCCTCCCTTGCACATCACTGTTCCAATGTTCACATCCCTAGACAGTGTTGTCAGCTTTTAAGATGTTTTCCAGAAAGATATTTTAGTGTTAGTGTTGATTCTGCTTTTCAATAAGGATCCACTTTAAGTATATATTGCAATCAGGTTTCATAACTAGTAGGGTTATCTATTTAATTACTACATTAGTTACAACTACCAGCAAGAGATATCCCTGAGATGTTACCACACCAAGAACATAAATGACCTTCTATCTTTTCTCCTTTTAATTACTGCTGGATCTTGACTATATTTTCTTCTTAACCTTCCGTTAATTCCCCTGAAATATATGCTCTCCGTAGGCTTCATCTATGATAAATGGACCAAATTTATGTCCACTCAGTCTTTATAGATTAATGCTACTAAGCTTTGTTTGCTTTCCTGTCCATTCATTGCACCTCATTCATTAAAATTCGCCAGTCTTATTAATCACATGCCAAATGCTATGTATGTATTTGTCATTCTACAACAATCAAATGGAGAAGGTACTATTATTTTCATTTTTATAGAAGAAGAAACTAAGGTTTGGAGAGGGTAAGTGACTGCCCAACTCACAAAGGTTACTAAGTGTTTGAACTGGAATTTGAACCCAAAGTAGGCCTCTGGTTCCTGAGCCATCATCATTGTTTTCAGTGGATGAAGTATTTGTGGTTTTGTTTTGTTTACTGAATTGTAGTCTTTAGCCTAAACTAGAGTGAGCCTAGTAGGAGGGGCAGGCAGTGTGGGAGGTGCCCTGTGGATAACTAGGGGTCAGAAGGAAAACCCTGTTTTGAGGTGTCTAGAGGAAGAGAAGTTTATGTAAAAGATTTCCATTGTGAAGAAGAAGAAGAAGAAGAAGAAGAAGAAGAAGAAGAAGAAGAAGAAGAAGAAGAAAGAAGAAGAAGAAGAAGAAGAAGAAGAAGAAGAAGAAGAAGAAGAAGAAAGAAGAAGAAGAAGAAGAAGAAAGGAAAATTGGTCGTTTTTTTTTCCACCATTGGTATACATTTTGATTTCTGTAAGGCTCAACCCAAGTAATTACAGAATTACAGATAGGAGAGCTACCAATTTCAATTCTTTTTCCTGGGCCTGGGGAGTGGTGGGTGAGGGGTAGTGATGGTGTGGTATCTTTGGATGGACTGCTATGAGCCTTGCAGCCTTCTGAGAACCCTGGGCTGGAGATCCGCACTGTTCATGGTGCTGTCTTACCTGCCTCTGAGGCAGGAACTCCCTCAATCTGTGAAGGCACAGACTCTCCCTTCCTGCTTGCCTTCCAGCCCTGGGGAGCTTTAGGCTCTCCCTGCTTCCCTTCCAGCCCTCTCTGCATCCCTCCCAGTTATCCCCTAAGCTGCCCCGAGTGGAGCTTCTGATCTAGACAACAAGAAGGATGTCTAGTAGTAAATGGGTCGGTGCAGCTCCCACCAGAACTCTGAGAACCCTGGGCTGTGGAGACTGCGAGGCAGCAGAGCCACCGGCTGATCTTGAGCAAGTAACTTAGCTTCAGCAGACCACTTTCTAAATCCCTAACAGGGGGAAACTAAGGTTAATTGTGGGGATTAATTAATGGAACACTCCTGGCACTTAGTAGGCGCTCAGCCAATAGCAAAGATGGTCGGGAGGAGGAGTTAGAAGTTAAGCTTTGGTGTCCAGAATGTAGGTTAGACCTAAGATGAAAAGGTATTCATTCACCCAAGGATGGGGGAGGGGGTAGCGGGAGCACCTGCCCGCCTCCCTGCTTCCAGGTACAACCCCGGGTGCCCGGAGGGCCATTCCTCCAGGCTCCTCCGGAAGATCAGGGTGCCTGCCCGGAGCCCGGGGGTTCACCTCGGGGCGTCCATGGCACGTCCCTCCACCCGGGGCTGCGGACAGACTTCTTCCCTCGCCGGCCCCTGAGCGCGCTCCCCGCCTCCTCCTCCTCCTCGGGGTCTTCTCGGCGTGGCTAGCCCGATCCAGCCCTAGGCGGAAAGGAAGAGGCAGCTTCGGGTGTGCAAGTCCCCCCGGGGCCCTGAGAAGGGAGGGAAGGCGAGCTGCGTTGCAGGACGCTGGAGATCTCGGTGCCCCGGCGGCCCCCAGCTCCTTCCCCATTGTGCCTGCCTTCTGGGGACCAGCCTGGCTTGGGGAACCCAAGCACAGACAGCCCGGAACCCCGGTGTCCCCGCCGGCCCCCCTCCCTTCCCCGCCCTCCCGGCCAGGGCGCCCGGGGCGGGAGTGGGCGGCGGCGCTGCCCGGGGGTAGGGAGGGGCGGGCACCAGGGAGGGAGCCCCCGAGGGGGCGTGGGGCCCTTGGGCACCTCCCATTCGGCCACCTGCCCCCCTGGTGCCCTGTCGATGCCCCAACCTCTTCGCCCCTCGCCCCCAGGTTAGGGCGCTGCCTCTTTCCATGTCCTAACACCCCCCTCCAACCCTCTTCAAATCCCCCCCGTCCCTGCTAATAACCCCCCACCGCAGAGTCAGGCTGCGAGCTGGAGAGGCAGCGCTGCCTCCCCCCGCCTCGCCCTCCCCTCCCCGCCTTCTGCTATAAATAACCCGGACCGGCGGGTCAGCCACGTCACTCCCGGAGGAACCGGGACCCCGAGGGTTTCTTCTGGGGGAATCGGGGCCAGAGGGTGGGGAGCAGGATAAAGAGATCGCTCGTGAGTAGTGCAGAAAAGCCTGCTCCTGGACTCCTAGGGGGACACATAGGCAGCAGCATTTTATTCCTGTCTTTCTCTGGCTTCCTTTTTTATTTTATTTTATTTTATTGTTCAGTGTCTTTTTTATTCTCGACTCGCCCCCCCCCCCCTTCCTCCCCGCCCTAAATCCAAAGGATTGCTCAACTCTCCTCCCATTGGTTTATTCTCTCCCTCCCCCTTCCACTCCTGCTCCCACCACCCTCTCCCCCGCCTCCCCACCACCACCGCCTCTCGCCCCAGGCAGGGGATGCTGTTCGCCCAGGAAATAAAGTTCAAACTCCTCTCCCCGCATCTGCTCGCTGAGCCCAGAAGTGGCCTCCCAGGAACCCGCTTTCCGCTCGCACTCCACTCCTGCTCTCCCCTACGTGTCTAATCTGGGTTTGCATATTTAAGAGGAGACACACACACACACACCCTACAGCCCTCGAGGTGCAAAACTGCCTCCTGCAGCCGCCGCCGAAACTTACCTGCCGCTCTAGTTGTTTTTGTCTTAAACGGAAGGACAACAAAAGATTTTTTTTACACTGGATCCCCTTAGGGGGTGATTTTTTTTTTATAGTATTCAACTATGTATGTCGTATGCATATATATGTTTTTCCTTTTCCCCCTTTAATTTATTTTTGTTATTTTTTTTTCTTAGCAAGAGAAATCCGCTAGGCTATCCCAGGCAGCGCCGCCGCTGCCCCTTTGATGTTGTGGTCCGCCGTGCGCATGCGCCTCGCAGTGGCATTACTGCACCGGGCAGACTAAGTTGGATCTCCTCTCTCCAGCGAAGCCCTCGATCCCATCCAAAACTAAAGGGATGTGGAGAGCTCGGAAAAAAGGCTACTTTGGGATCTGGCCCTTCCCCTTGCTAATCGCCGCTGTCTGTGCGCAGAGGTAAGTGTGCCTAAGGCTTCCGTTTTTTTCTTTTTCTTTTTTCCCTTTCCCACTTTGAAGGGCTCTGCATACCTCGGTGAACCGGGAGGATCGGTGGGGAGGATCGGATAGATGCCGCCGAGGACGCGGTGCCTGCTGCCTGATGCCCACTTATTGTCTTTTTCTTTTTCTTTAGTGTCAATGATCCTAGTAACATGTCCCTGGTTAAAGAGACGGTGGATAGACTTCTGAAAGGCTATGACATCCGCCTGAGACCCGATTTTGGAGGTAATGGGGTTGCCGTGGAAATAAGAAACAAACCCAGCTGTAGCCTCGTAAGCTAGCTGTCTTTGGAGCTTTGTGCTGGCCTTCTCTTCCCTCTCCCTCATTGTGGTGAATGGAATGTGTCTCGGCATTACCATACGGAGACACTGACCCAAACTTAAACCACTTGGTTACTAGCCAGCACTCAGATGGTCTTCCGGTGAGAGAGACCCTCCTGGCATATATTGGTGCTTGCCGCCCTTGGGTGTCACTGTGATAAATCCTTTGCTTCACTGTCATCGCCTCGTTCAGTTACAAAGCTCAAGTTGAGTTAACGGTGTGCCCGGAGAAGCTGGCTTAGTGAAGGCTGCGGTGAGGGTTTTGGAGGACAAGAAGTGCAGACAATTGGTGGAGAAGTGGCATTCACCCCCTATGCCCGCCTACTTTGAGAGAGTTCTGACCACGGTTTCAAGTGCCTGGGGTCTGGATACTCTTCAGTCCTGCAGGGGCAGTGCAATGGGAGGGCGGGAGGACTTGAGGAGCTTGGAGGGGAAGGGGGGAGAAGGGCCAGAGAACTCTTTCCCTGCAGCCCGGGAAACCCTGATATGCCTGCTTAATGTTGCTTCCGAGTCTTAGGAAGCTCAGCGAGTTAAAACCTGCACACAAAAGCTGTGGGGGTGAATGAGGAGGAGGGTTCCAAGGCAATCTATAAAATTCCCTCGGGCTAGAATGTTCCTGTGCTTTTGTGAGTTGTGTGTGTGCTCCTGCTGAGGCATCTATCTACATGTGTAGACAGAGCTGGAGTCCCTCATCCCTCAGAACACGTGTGTGAACATTTAACAGAGCATTTCCCAGAGGAGCTCCTGCATCCTTTTAGATAAGAAGCAGGACTTGAGGAATTTGAGGGTGAGCTGCGCGGGGAGGGACTTGGGCAGAGTGTCCCAGGCCCAGGGGCAACTCTTGCTAAGAATGAATGAAGTTCTGAGCAGTCACGTGGCTGGCCCTCTTGGTTTGCAGGTCCCCCCGTGGCCGTGGGAATGAATATTGACATTGCCAGCATCGATATGGTTTCTGAAGTCAATATGGTGAGTACTGAGGTTTATGACCATGTCTCCTCAGACATTCCTTGAAGATAGGGAGGAGAAAGGAGCCAGGGTGTATGTGGCCATGTGTATGCAATCCAGGCAAAGACGGGATGTTGCTTTGTGTTTATAGTTTCAGAGCCAGCTCTTTCTGGTCCCTACAGATTTTCCCCCAACTTGGTTCATCTACTTGGGACTTGGCATAAAGCAAGTAAAATGCATCACACATTCACATGCAGAATGCAGCCACATTCAGGAGCCCCCCTGCAGAAGCCCCATTTTCTAAGGTCCCATTGGAAACCAGGCTCATCACATACATTTCTGGGTTTGGGGTGGGGTTAGCGGAAGAGGGGAAGATTTTGATTTAACATGTAAAAGAGAATATTACCTACAGATTAAACTGTTGCGAAGAGGCTGAATAAATCCCCCATTCACGTCCACTTGTTGCTTTCGGAGATGGCCTCTTTACTACTGAGGGCAAGCCTCCCCCTCCAGTTCCTCTAAGCCTCCCAATCACCAAAATAAACAGAATAAAAATTGGTCACCGGTGTTTTCAAAAGGCAAAGTCAGACCCATGTGTCATCTCCAGTCATTTCTGCAGTGTTATTCACCATATGTCCTAAGCTTGTACAATTTATTGATAGCAGCACTCTTGTGTGGCGGCCTCCTTGGACGGGGCAAGTCTTAAAGGAAGAAGGCTGGGTGTTCCAGACTAGGAAACACTTGTGGGGGTTAGCCTCACGCAGGCCCGCCCCCTGCTGCCCATGTTGGGGCACTGCAGATACACAACAGGGACAAGTGTCCCAGATACCCCCCATTTACTTTGGAGTTTTCTACTCTGTGTTTTGAAGTTTTGGCCTTCAAAAGTTCCTCCAGGAAGGGCACGTGTGAGTGTCAGATTGCAGTCTTACTTTCAATTCTGATAGCAAAAGCACGTTTCTCAGAAGGTTGTGTGGTGGCCGGGTTTGGCCTAGAGATGGAATGCACTGTTGAAGAGAGTGTTGCACCTAGGGTTTAATCCAGACACCTCTAAGCCAGCCAGCAGGATTTGAAATTTAGAACGCATATGAAGTAGATCCAAAGTACTCTGTAGTGGCCATGCTTTCCACATTACACTAATTTTCATAGCCCCAGAGTTCAAATACAGAGGAAGCTTGAATAGCCACCCTCATTCCCCTGTACACTGTCCAAAGATAGGTGATAATCCTGAGGTATTAAAAGATTCTGAAGCATCTTATGACTGCTGGAGGGAATAGTCACCTCCAGTGTGTCCCCAAGGATGTATACACACACTGAAAAATTATAAAGGCAGTGTTTATGAAAATGCATTTCCTTTTCAAAACTGACACATTCTGTATTTCAGAAATGTCTTAAGGACATGCCTCTTCTTATTTTGTAATTATTTGGCAAGCTTTGACCCTGTAAGACATAAACACAGACTAAAAGCAATCTTGAATGATTCAGAAACTCAGATTTCCCACACATTTTGTAAGTTTCATCAGTAGAGAATGCTTGTTTCTTAGGACTTTAGAGGTATTTCATCAATGTGTATATTTTGAGATTTACCATAAAAAATTAAAAATGTCCTAATGTTGGTACTTCCTTAATCCCACATTCTTGAATCTAAATGGTGTTGCTAAAACAAAGTAATATAGAAAATAAGTGTGGTTCATAGTGACTGAATTAGAGTCCCTTTTTTCGCTTTTTGATTTATTTATGCTCTTTTATCCTCCCAAATTTTACTTTACCACCTTCCCCTTTATAGGGTCTCAAGCACAGGAATTTATGGAAAAAAATAAGAAATATTTAAAATCCAGAGACAGTGGTGGCATAACTAGATGTTGCTACAATAGATTAACTATTTAGATATATTATATCCCAAATTGTTTGGTACAGGGTTTTCATTTTCTTTTTCTCATGTTAAGTTTTATTCAGTTTTTTTTTTTTTACCTGTATGCAGCATTTTTTAGAGGTATCTGAATTGGACACAATGTCAAGATCTGCTAGTCAAAATATAGACCCAGCTAAGGCGAGGTGTCATCTCTGAAAGTTATTTACTGTTGCTGGAAAATCATGGGATGCTGGAAGTGTAAAGACAAATGTCAGGTTGTAAATAGGACAGTGGCGCAGCATTAATGACTAGAACCCAGTCTTAAAACCCTGCCAGACCCTTTCCTAGCCCAGTGCTTGCTTGCACGTGGACTTGTTTAGACACATCCTGACTTGTAAAATAAATTTCTTTCAGCTGGCAATCGGAGTGACCATTACTCCTTCAGAGAAACGTTTTGTGATGTATGCTAGTTCATGTAAACATGGTTATTTGATTCGAAGCAAAGTCCACCGTTGGTATCTGAATAAAATAAGATGTGAGTGGCATTTTGCCTCCTGTGTACAGTCTATAAGGATTAGGATTTTTTTTTTATTAGATTCCATTCTGGAAGAACAGTTGATTGATTAAATGAAACCTCCAGATTGATCAACACCCATGTGTCTGTTTTATCATCCTTTGTGGCCTGCAACCTCTGGTGATTGTAACTTGCTTTTATTTTAGCAAATCTCCCTTGGAAGAGTGGTAGGCACGAGAGTCCACTTACATGGCTAGTGACTCATTTGTACCAAAAGAAAGAGGCCTGTGTCCTTGTGGTGATCCTGGCAGATGACAATGCTAGAAACGCCCTGACCTCAGCCAAGAGTCTCAGATGCCAGCTCTGCTTCTGCGGTCCCTTCACCTTGAGAGTGACTCACCTGTTAAAGGGGACTAGCAGTCCCATTCTACCTCTCTTGGGTGACAACAGAACTAATGAAATGACGTGTGTGGAAAGCACTGGTTTTCTGTGAGGGGAGCCTGTATAGAAGACTTAACACCCGGCTACCACTCAAGAGACCCAGTGTCCACTTCAGCTGCTCCCCTACGTGAGGTTGGGTCAGGAATGTACATCACTGTGTTTCCGTTTCCTCATGATTGAAATGACAGAGGACATAGTAACTTGATTTCCAACTCAAAGTAACACGTGACCCTGGTCTGGTTTATGATAATAGCTATGTTGGGTTGGGCCAAAGAAGTTCCAGGAAAATCAGCACAGGCTTAAGGAAAATGCAGAAAACCTAAATGATATGCAGTCCCGAGTTCTTACTCAGGAGGGTGACAATGGCCTCTTCCACAGCCACGTGACTCAGGTTGGTTCAATGGAACATCTTTGGAGGAACGTGGCATCAATTAGAATGTTCCTGAGCAGAGTGTTTGGCTTTCGAGTGACATATTTTTAGATGTCTTGGTTACACTGGCAAGAATCTTTTTGTTAAGATTCTTGATGAAAAGTGCATTTTTAAGATCCAAAATTGGCTCTGAGGATTAGGGACCGAAATAGCTTTCTCTTCATTTAAAGCAGATCCTGCTCCGTCTTGAAACAACACAGTTGCCATCCAGAGAGTGAAGCAATATTTCACTTTTGAGGAAGGAGTTCTAGTAAACACAAACACAAATTACCTTCGGAGGGGATGGCAAGTGGAGAAAAGCACTGACTTCGAGACACAACAAAACAAAAAAATCCCAGATGTTTTCTTTGCCAGCTGTGAAGTTTAACCTTCACTGAAGCACAAATACTTATTCAGTGGCTACTGTGATCCCGCCACATGTTTGGCTAAGGAGCAGAGCAGTGAACAAGGTCAACTTGTCCCCTCCCCTCATGAAACTTAATATATAGGTATTCACGACTGATAACCCTGCAGGTTGCTACCATACCTATACTCACTGTGAGTCTTATTTTCTCCCTAGAACTTTCTCTGAGCATCCAGTGAGTACCTCATGGTCTGTGTCTCCCATGGGCTTCTTTGTGACTTGTTGACTCCTACAGCATTCATTTGTTGTTGGATAGCTCAAGTTGCTTTATATTTACATGTTTATTCTATCCTAATTCATATTTATAAAATACACAAAGACAAGGTTATTCTCTCTCTCCCTGTGGTTTTGACGATATAATGGTTGGTTGGATGTTTGACTCCTGGTGAATGCCACAAATATTGGGTGAAGTATTTGTTTTTGAGGCAATGATTTGTTATTATTCACTGGATATTAGACCATATATGTGAATATAACCAAACATAGAATCATAGTTCTAAATGTCAAGGCATTTTGCTGTTTCAATCAACAAATGTAGAAAGAATCATAATGTAGGATCATTGGTGCTTTGAAAGATGGAATATTGAGAATATGGAATACTGAGGTATTACTCAGAAATTAGGTTAGCAAAGACAGGAGTTACAGGTCACTGAATAGATGTTCCATGCATAAAGGTGGCATATAGGAGAATAAGGCACAGGAAAAATATGGGTTTTCATGTAACTTAAAATGGCTGAAGTTGGGAGTAGCTGTGAGGAGGTGATAATGTTGGTATTGAAATCAAATGTGGTGATCAGATTATGAATACCTTTTCTGTGGCTTGCTGAGGAATTTAATTTTTATTCCCAAGGCTCTAGGGACCCAGGAAAGGATGCCCATAGGAGAATCACAGGAACAGATTTACACTTCAGGGTGGATTGAAGTGGAATAAGACCTAAGGCTGGTAGATGAGATGGAAACCCAATGCAAAAAATCCAGGAAGGATTGATGAATAAACAGGGATGCAAAGGAGATATAAAAACATGGCATTTACAAGGTAGAAGTAACAGGAGTTGGTGAATCCCAGGTTTCTCGTGGTGTCATTTATTGAACAGGAAGAGCAACCGAATTGAGAAGGTATGGGTGGACAGTCTGGAAAATGTTGACTTTTCTACACACATGGAATCTCTGAGTAGAGACAGCCAGTAGGTGATTGGAAAATACAAGTCAAGAGCTAAGTAAGGAGTCTTGTCTAGAGAGATGAACTTGGACATGTCAACATGTAAGTGGCACCACTATTAGCTGTGTGATTGGATGCAATTAAAAAAGGAAACATGAGAGACAACTGAAAATGGAGTTATGGTGAGCACTGTAGTTCACATGGTGGAACCTGAAAAAGCCCCCT